CCTGACCTTTCACAGCCTCCTCTGCCAAGCAATCGCATTTGTGCTGGTCCCTTGAGCAATTTTTTGAGAAAGGCTTCGCGGAAGTTTCACATGCGTAGCTGATGACTCCAGCTGGATAAGGAGATTAGAGAGTGAGTTTGGCTGATAACAACGTGTAAAAATGAAACAGGATGCCATAGAAATATTATATAAGATAATTCCAGATATCGGTTGTAAAGAATGTTGTGCTTGCTTCTGATTGCTCATATCTTCTATTTTTATCGGTTTCCTTCTGCTTGTCTTTGTGCACGTTTCCCGGTGTAGCAGGTCTGACCCAACCAACTCAAATAAAGATAACACTGATAACTACAAAGTGAGGAGGTGGGGGAACTCGCTGCTGACTTGCACACTTAGGTTGTCTTTGACTGTAAAATACTTTCCAGATGGATTTAATACTTAATAATAAGTTTTGATCTCTTGTATCTGCAGCTCTAAGGATTTCTGCTGGGTGTAACAAAAAGGCAGCTGTTGCAGATGCAAGTTCTCCATGAGATGGGAAATAAGAACTGGGGCCCGAAGCTCTCCAGGTTGGTGAGATGGGAGGGAAGGTTTTGCAGTGAAGGCAAAGGATGAGCTCTCGGTTCGGGTTTCCTACAGGAAGGTTGTGCACGTCAGGCTACAGAGCAGCTACAGATGGCCACAGGCTTGTTTTCCTGGGCTCTGAGCTGTAAATCACTTCTAGTCACTGCTTAGGGCATTGGTCTCAACCTCAGCACTGCACTTATGCTTTCTTACAGCTGGCATCTGGTCATCTTAAAGCTGAGCTTGGGCCACCCATACACTCTCTTGCGTGAGCCCATGCAGACGTGTCCTTGGGTAAACACAGTCCCACTCCTGTAAATGCCTGTGTGTGCCGGAGAAGGGTAACTGTTCCCTGCTGCATGCTGCACCCTGCTCCACGCACGGCTGGGGAAGTCTCCTCTGGTAGAGGCATGGCAGATGAAGTTCTTGCAACAGCTTTGCAAGCATGGCCTGAGGAAACATGCTTTAGGTTTGCGGGGGGCTGCAGCCGTCACAGAGTTGCCCAAAGTCTGGGCAAACCAGGGAGGTTTCCAGGGCAGGCAGGAAAGGGGGGAAGAGAGAGGCCTCATCGTCCCGTGAGTCAGTGGCCACATAACCTGGTGGAAACCTGCTCTGGAGCTTCTTCCTCCAAGGCGTGAGGACTGACTTGCCCCTCCAAGAGGTACGACACGGAATCTTGTCCACGTTTGTGCTGTACCACAGTTATTCGTAAATACTTTATTTGTGTGAGTTTGTCCCACACAACTTCCAGGTTAGTCTGCAACTGTGCAAAACAGAACCTCTCCAGGAGAGAACCTGCTATATTGGGCTTTGATTTTGCTTGAGACCTTTGTGCATTACCATCACATTGCAGTTAATAATGTAGGACTTAAATTCAAAATGCCATTTCTGCATAATGCTGGCATCCCTATGTAATGTGATTTCTGTTATAAAAACCGTAAGTAGCCAGAAAGCAACACTTGTGCCTGGAGGTATGCTCCTTAGGCCGAGTGGCAGCAAGGCTCCTGAGTAGAATAAACCACAGCTGATGAAGCCAGGGACTTTAGCTATCAGTGACTGGAGAAAAAGAAACCTCTGACAGTGTCCCTGGCTATTTTATGTCTCCTGAGCAAAAGACTTTTAAAGTTTGGGCCAAAGAAAGTGCAAGACTTGCCTAATGAGTTTAAGATTCTTCAGTCTCCCCAACAAGCAGGAAATTGGAAAACGTGAGTTGTGTGTGATGGTAATTATATGGCAGGTTTGTTGCTGGCCTTCGGTCTATAGCAAAGAGGATGAGCGAGTGAACTAATCACACATTTCTAGGCACTGCTCGGCCAGTGAATGCTCTTTCTCCTATTGCATGAGGTCAGAGACGGTCCCGTGGCAGGATGACTCAGAGGTGATGACAGAGGAAGTGGGAGCCGTGTTTACAAGCCCTGGAGGATGCTCGGCAGTGCAGGCTGCAGCTTGGCTCACGCTTCACACCTCCAAAACTGTTACTACATAATCCAGAGCTATACAGAAAGGGATTTCAGAGCCTTTTTTCAAGAAGTGCATGCAGGGAGACCCGGCTGACCCTTAAGATCTCTTGATATTTACTCCTGCATCTCCTGTGATCAGAATGATCCTTTCTAACCTTAAAAAAGAGAGCATCCCATGAGGGCTAGCTACTCAACCAACGCCTTGTGCAGAGTCGCTGGGCTCCAGGTGGGCACAAGACCTTCCTCCCTTGCTGGGGGGGTACTACTACCCCACAGCAATTTCTCCTCTTTTGCCAGACCCTGTGTCATTTTGACGGGGGGGTACCACAAAACCCAGGCTCCCCTAGGGCCGGTGCTAGTGGGGCTGCAGTGGGAAGCTGTGTGCCTCGCGTGCCCACTGGCTGCAACCGGCATCGCTGCACCGAACACCAGAGCCGAGCTTGCCCCGGGTATTGCAAACTCTGGGAGTTTACCTCAGGTGAGAAATTTGTTCTTGACATTTTGATGTTTCTCCAGATCCAGGTGTACCGAGAAATATTGCAGCACCCAGGCCTGGCCCTGGTTAATAGGGTGTAGAAAGGGGACGGGTGAATGGGTGCCCGTCAGGTAGTTTCAGCACTCTTTCTGTGAGCTTGTGAAACGGGTTAGGAGAAAAAAACATCTAAGCCCGCAAGCGCAGTTTGTAATTCATATTTTATTTCTTTGTACAAGTGAAATAATAGGGGGAAAAAAGAACTAGAAGACTGAAAGGTAATGTGAAAGCCCACAGTGGGAGACCACAACTCCCACTGAAGGGTGATTTGTAGCCTGGTGGCACAGGAAAGTGTCATGACTGAGGCACAGGGGTTCACTGCTTTTTAAAATAGATAAAGTGGCAGAGCTGAAGAATAAAAGTAGAAGTCAACTAATGCTGAAAACACCCTTGTCACAAATAACTACACTGGAGCTGTTAAAATAAGGTGAGCAGCAAGTGCCTAGCCCCAAAATACCTGAAAACACCTGGGGTGGAGGGAGAGCTGCAGGAAGGAGCCCTTTTGACAAGCTTAACGTTCAAAGGTTTTAATGTAATTAAAGGCCATCTTTGATGCAAGTTTAAACACCGTCAGCAATGCTGCATGGGCCTGCCTCTGGAGAACCAGCAAGCAAGAGCATTTGCACTCTCAGAGGGGGAGGGAAACGCAAGTCATAAACAGATTGCACAGTGAGATCCCAAAAGAGCAGCGTCCAAGCTGAGAAGTCAACATTTTTCCAAAGTTTGGCTTTGGTTTACATTCCTCTAGAGGAAAAAGTGACTCGGATAATTAAGCTGATGGAGATTTTCCAAGCTGTTCAAGATACTGAAAACATATGTCTTGTCTTCAGCTTAATGGTAGGCACCATATAAATATCTCAAAAAAAAAAAAAATACCCTGCATTTTTAGTTGTCTTAAGTATCCCAGGAACACGAATATGGCTGGGATACTACTTTAATGAAAGCACAGTGCTAAAGAACTACCCATGCGTGGAAAAGGGATATGGTGTGACTGGTATCCCTTGTCCATCCAAATACTTGGGTAGCTATCATCTGTCCTCGCCTTGCCTTTGAAGCGGCTGCTCTGCACGACTTTCTTTCAAGTCTTTCCCACTTCTCCTTCCTCTCCAGTAGCCAAAAATGGGATGTGTATCTGCAGAGCAGAAATAAAAAAAACTCCAGCCCAGACCATTGCTTCTTTGATCCCAAACAAGAAAACAGGCTTCAAGCTGGCGAGGCTGCTATTTTGAGTAACACAATGCCCAGGGGAGCCGTATTTCTCCCTTTTAACAGAGACAGACGAT